TAGAGAGAGAGAGAGAGAGAGAGAGAGAGAGAGAGAGAGAGAGATTAAAAAAATAAAAAGCCATTCGATTTTTTATATAAATATTTGCATTAAATAGAAAATGTATTTGTATTAAACATTTGTATTTAATACAGTAATAAAATTTTTTTTCCCCTTTATAGGGTTTCATTCATTAAATAGCAGGGGGTAGTGTTGCAAACTGATAACACACTTGTCAGGTTTTTTTTTTTTAAATGCATCTTTGACAAACACACACACACAAACACACACACACACACACACAGAGAGAGAGAATAAGCAAATTTTCAATCCACTTTTACAAGTAAGCGGTCACCAAAAATAAAAACAATTTTAAATCGCATGACATTAGAACATGAGTCATATGGACTAATTTTATGGTGCTTTTATCATATTTTTCTGTTTTTTTTTTGTAGCTTAACAGTCATGCAAAAATGCAAAATCTCTGAGAAGATTCTTCAAAATCTTTTTTTTTTTTTTACTTAAAAAAAAAAAACAGCATACAATTTTGGGATGGAATAAGGCAGTGACAAATAATGGGTGAACAACTCCTTTAATAACTTTTTTCTACATGCACAGTAAGAATTGACTTCATATTTGGTGTTGCCCTCATTATTAGATCATCAGCCCATTGATGATGAACTGTGAACATCTTTGTATTCATTCTTAACCTGTCAGTTTCACACTGGTCATGATTATTCCCTCCCTCTCTTCTTCGTTTGCAACGAGAGCCTGGCACCCAAATGATAAGAATGACAGTTGGAGTTGTCTGAGGCTGCTCACACACACACACACACACATGCTCATTCACACCGATTTCCTGCCACCTCCCTCATCTGAACTCCCATCGCCTCATCTATCAGTCAAAAGACACACAGGGCACTCCACACACACACAAAGAACGGGACTGTCAGCGTGGACATTCTCTTGTTTGACAGCGAGAGGGACAAATGGCTCTAAACCACACCTCCTCTTCAGGCCATCTCATAAAGAGACACCAGTTTGTGTGTGTGGTAGAGACCACAACAGACAGACCACCCACTCTTCCAACATTCCTCCATTGAGAGTCAATGGTGTCCACTCCTCCCACCGTCTAGTTCAGCCAATGACCAAACATTACACTTACAAACAAAATACAGCCCCCCTGAATGACCTCTCCTCTGTCCACTGCTCGTCTCTTCCCATCAACGTCTCCATTAACACCCTACTTAAAAGTTTAACACGGACAAGTGAAAAGACAGTTGGAAAAAAAGATTCTGGATGGAGCTTCCATTTGGGAATCTCAAAGACCAAATGAAATGGCCAAGTGAAGTTGTCCTTCCTGTATTTGCTATTGAACAAAGACAGGGAAGGACTTATAAAGGGGTTAACCCTTTAAAATAAAATAAAAAAATTACATAAATTTAAAAAAATGAACTAATACTAAAATAAATTCACTTAAAAATAAAGAAAAAATAGATAAAACAATTAATGAATATTAAAATTTAAAAAATTTCATAAATTAATGAATAAAAACAGGGGAGGGCACAATCATTGAAGAGAACACTTTATGGATTCATAAATTGAAACATTTTGGCCAACTTTGCTATAAGAAAAAGACTATTTTTATATGTATATCTGCTAAAGATATGTCATACGTTTTTGCCACAGAACATTACATTTTAAAATTATGGGGGCTTTAAAAAGCTTTTGTTGTTGGGTCTTGGTGTTAACAAATTCCAATGATTCTGAGGCTGCTCACACACACACACACACATGCTCATTCACACCGATTTCCTGCCACCTCCCTCATCTGAACTCCCATCGCCTCATCTATCAGTCAAAAGACACACAGGGCACTCCACACACACACAAAGAACGGGACTGTCAGCGTGGACATTCTCTTGTTTGACAGCGAGAGGGACAAATGGCTCTAAACCACACCTCCTCTTCAGGCCATCTCATAAAGAGACACCAGTTTGTGTGTGTGGTAGAGACCACAACAGACAGACCACCCACTCTTCCAACATTCCTCCATTGAGAGTCAATGGTGTCCACTCCTCCCACCGTCTAGTTCAGCCAATGACCAAACATTACACTTACAAACAAAATACAGCCCCCCTGAATGACCTCTCCTCTGTCCACTGCTCGTCTCTTCCCATCAACGTCTCCATTAACACCCTACTTAAAAGTTTAACACGGACACGCAAAACGACAGGTGGAAAATAAAGATTAAGACTATTTTTATATGTATATCTGCTAAAGATATGTCATACGTTTTTGCCACAGAACATTACATTTTAAAATTATGGGGGCTTTAAAAAGCTTTTGTTGTTGGGTCTTGGTGTTAACAAATTCCAATGATTGCAAACCATTGAAAAGTCCCTGAAAATTTCCAAAGGTGCAGGCCAAAATGCATCCATTGCCAGTTTTGGTGTAGTTTTCCTGCTAAACGTGATTGTGGTTGGCAGGGTCGGGGTGAAGCGAGCACGTTCCAGCATCTGCGCTCAAGAACTCTTGAAAATTGGCACACACATTGGAATCTGCGGTCATTAGGACGCCGCAGAGGCTGGGACCCGGGCGTGGCACAGGGGCTCTACAGCGTCCCCTGGAACACAAGAACCGCATGTAATGATGCCAACTCTCAGAACAACCCAGTTGTTCAGTAATTCAGCACGTGAGGAAATTATCCTGAACAAAAAAATGCTTTGACTAGAGCAGACATTAAAATTTACACCCATAAAGTGTTGGATTGAGAGGCGACAAGGTCAAAGGGCACTGCATTAGTTGCCGTAATTCTGCCAACCTCACATTTCTCCTGCCCTCTTCTCAGAGGGGTGAACAGAGAAGGTTTGGAAAGAAAAAAAAACACATTTATATTGATTTGTTATCATAAATAAATACTCACACATACACAAACACTTAATATTACAACATCACCTTAAACCAATTTTGTCCAAACCAATAACACTCAGAAATGCAAAGATGAATGAGAAATCAGTAAAATCACACAATACTTTGAAATACCAATGAACAAGGTCAGCCTCAATCTAAAACAATGACTCGCAAACAGAGGGCAGGAAATGTACATTCATCTTTGGAGATGACCCAGATACTGTGGTGGTTACTTCCTGTGCAAAAAAATAAATAAAATCACACCATCTTCTTTAACTGTCTATCTGTCTCCATCTCTCAGTTTCATTCTCATGGCCAGATGGTAGAAACATGTTCACTTTGAGTGTCAAAGAATGGATAAACATTTAAAAAACCAAAAGCATGCACGTGTGCATGAACACACAAACACAAGTCCATTTCGACACAAAGATATACAATCTCAATCCGTTATTAAAGGGAAATGGTACAACCCCATTATTAAGCGAAGGACTGAATCACATGCACAGCTGGCCTGTCTGCTACTGGTATGGCAGAAGGCTCAGTCAGCAATCCAGAATTTTGCAGTAAAACATTCCTCACACAGACCACCTCGGATAGAGGATCACTGAATTCTCAGCTGAACTCATGAACTTTATTGGCTTCCTTTGGATAAAAAGTGTAGATTACCAAAACAGCCGCACAGCAAGAGGGGAAAAAAAAGTAGTGTAGAGTTCCATCAAAAAAACATGAAGCAATGGAAAGCTTGTGAAAAGGTGGTGCTAGGACTGATGATGTTGTATATGAAGGTATCCGTGGATGTAGTTCCTCAAATAGATTTTGCTGCATGATCAGAGGTAGAATTTTGAAGGTTGGGGTTAAACTCATTTTTGCATACTCATGAGAAGCTCCAAAGATGATATGCTTAAAATACCCTCTTATCTCACTGAATTGGGACACAACTCGTAAGAACTTTAATGAACTAGGACATCCACTACACTGTACGTCAGGTAACCATATTCAAGGGGAACGGGCATAAGTTTATTTGGTAGATTACATGCACTTTGTTCTCTCACAGTGTCCATTTCCGCACCAGTGACGACTTTTGGTACTCAAAACATTAATTTAAGAACAAGAACTATTGTTATAATTCCGAAGAATTCAAAAATAAGGGGAAGAAAATGACTGGAAATGGAAACAGAACTAAACACAACTGATAACTAAACTGATCTTCCATCAACTAAACAAACAAGTTGTCTGGGAACAAACTTTGGATTTGATCTTGCTGAATAATACGGAAATTGCTGTTGGAGCTTTGTGTCAAATGAATGGAGTGCTGACAACAGGCCCAGATGGTTTGGTCATTCACCAAGACGAGAGTGTTCAGTCACACACACACACACACACACACACGAAACATACATTTTACAGTTTAAGTTGTACAGTGTGTATGAATGCAAGTGTGTGTACATAGTAAAGGAAAGATCTAGGCCAACGAGTGTGTTATGGTCATCTGGAGAGCTAAAGAATTAATTTAAAAGGTGACCTACCACTAAAAAAAGATTTTCGTTGCACTCAGAGGAAATCACAAGACAAGCTGGCCCACTCAGCTTACTATGAACATCTCTGCTGCAAGGCTACTTTCACATGAAGATGATGTATGTCGATATATGATCAAATAAAAGAGGGAAAGGGATGAAATCAGATTAGGTTACGCTGAAGGAATGCAAGACATTTGTGTGACCGTCTCCCTCTGCCTACCCAATCTCCACATCAACATCCACCGACATCTGCATTCCTCCATTCCTCATTCAATTCACCACTATGGTAAGCAAAATAGGCTGCATTATAAAAATAACAGCTTGCCTTGTGACTCATGCATGTGGTCTTTTTGTGCACTTTAATTACAGGAAAAACTTGTGAGGATTCTAAGGCATGAATAAATAGTGCCATCTTACATGGAGCGGGGCAAAACGTTTCAGAAAGAACCAAAAGCCAACTAAATCCAGTCCAAATTGAGACATTTTACAACCCAATCCACAAATTACCCATCAAATTGGGTTAAATGATGCGGAAAGGCAATAAAAATTATAATCCAGAAACTTGGAAAACAAAATTCTCCTAAAGGCAGCAGAAACCGATAATGCAATTGTCAACAAGCACAGCATGAATGTTTAAATGAACACATCTGCCCAAGAGAAAACAAGTTACAATGGTCAAACGATACGGTCTTGTCTATAATTAGTCAGTGGAGCATTAGAGAACAATGTCACGGCAAGCAGTGTTATATCCATCACACTTTGGTCCCGTGTGACTCTTAATTATCAGTTTTTAATTCTGTGTTCACTTGAGAGGATCCAAGTCTGGTTTTCAGGCACAAGGGGCTCTTGGAAAATGCCAAGAAGAATGTAAGGTGGTTCACCTTTGAATGATTCATCCCGGTGAATTGAATCATTTGAATAGATTCACTAAAACGATTCTTTAAGATTTGTTCGGGGTCCCTTTTCTCCATGCTACCAGTAGATGGTGACAAGTCAATCTGGCTGTAATCGAGTTATTGAGTCCTTTACTCAACCGATTCGTTCAAGAACAAAACAAGTCTGACTATGCTTTATTTAAATGTGTCTATAGATCGACTTAAACGAGTCTCATAAGCATTTCCCTCACAAATAACAAAGAGATGACAGTTTTTCCAACTGTGGTGCATGGCATCAAGCCATACTTTAAAAAAACTACAACAATCTAAATAACCCATTTAATTTAAATTTAATTGTCTTCATTCAGAAGAGACTCAAAACACCGACTCGCTCTCGTTCAGAGGGACCAACCAATGAAACACTTCCTCACAGCAGTCACCGGTCAATCTTTGAAGGAAGGAAAGCCACTAAAGCAGTTATGTGCTTCACAAAACTAAAGTGAACGAACATATGAGGCAATGCATGAAAGTGAATGACAGCGATTCGTTGAATTGACATATTGGTTTAGGAAAGGAACACTACTAATTCACCTATTGCAGCCCGTTGGTCTACGCTGCAAGGGAACTAAGCGAATCAGAGAACAGTCCCGTTATAATAAACGCAAAGGTGCACAAGTGTGCGATTAACAGACAGTTTCGTTTATTTTATGTAGTTCGTTTGCAGTATTGAGAAGCTGCAATAAGGGCTAAAATCTATCTAGCTGATCCTCTTATTCCACGTGCGGGAGCCAAACAAATCTCTTTTGGCTTCCAGCTGGCGGTGATTCACTCCCCCAATTCAGTCTCACGCAGGTTCTCAAGTTTATGAAACTGCCTGCGGGCATATGACTACATTTAATTGTACACATTGTAATCTTTTAAACGCACTATCGTCCATACAGTAGATAATCTGCGGTGTTTTACCTGCCAAGCTCTTTGCCGACCAGGTCATAGTTGTTCTTGAATGGGTCGGTCCTTATCCGCGTGCGAATCTTTGTGACCATTCCGTTCCTGTTCATCATTGTGCCGTTACAGTCCTGCTGCAGGGTAATGCCTGGCGTTCCCCGGAGCACTGAGTAGAAATATAAGAGTTTAGTCCATCAGGTCAGTCTATCACAGAGCGCTGTTCAAGCCAACTGTGTAGGGAAAAAATTATGATGCTTAGTTAAATTAACTGTTGCACGGGCAACATTTCAAAAACAAAATAGTTGCCACCACAAGTTTATCACAGCGTTTAAAGCGGTGCAAAGTTTCTGAAACAATTTAATGGTTTCCAAGAAACTCACAGAACGTGTTAAGAAACGCGACAGATATACCACCGATATGCCCACGTCCAAGCAGCGGTAACTCAGTTTGAGAATGCGGACAAACATTCCCAAGCACAAGGATCATTACAAACACCGCCCTTAAAGAGGTGGCCAATGGGAGTGTAGAATTCTTGAAGGAGGCGGGGTTATAGAATGGTAATTCATATAGGCCTATTGGCAACTTATTTATAGAATGCAAGTTAAATTTGTCAACCATGTGAAATTATCAGATAAAAAGTCCTCCAAAACAAACTTTGTACTACAAATCTGGAACATATACACACACAAAACATTTTTTTGTCATTTTATTTGTATTTAGTTTTTGTATTTTGTAAAATACAAAACATTACCCAAAATATGTTATTTCAGCACTAATATATTGTGAAATTTTAAGGTTTCAAAAACATACATTTTGAGAAAAAAAATGTCGGACCCACTTTATATTAAGTGGCCTTAACAATGTACTTACATTTAAATTAATAATTTGGTACAATGCACTTATTGTGTACATACATGTTTTTACATTGTACTTATATTTTAAAAATACCTGCATGTAATTACATCTGTAATTAATTTCTGTAATTACATTTATAATTACACAGTTGACCCATCTCTTACACCTTAACCCACCCTTAAACCTACCCATACCAACAAACCTGTCCCTAACCTTACCCATATCCCACCTCAGTAGCAGCAAAAGTGTTTTGCAATACAATATGAACACAGTAAGTACATTGTACTTAATTTTTGATGTAAGTACATAGTAGTTAAGGCCACTTAATATAAAGTGGGGCCAATATTTCTTTCAACCATGCTATTTACAACATATAATAATCTGTCTGTTGATTCCTTGTCGTCACTGGCAACCAAACAGACAGTGCCCTACCTTGACATGCCTCATACTTCGCTAAATCTTATTTCCCACACACACACACACACACACACACACACACACACACACATACTTGTATTTGTGGTTTACGGTGACTCTCCATAGGCGTAATGGTTTTTATACTGTACAAACTGTATTTTCTATTGCCCTACACCAACCCTACCCCTAAACCTACCCCTCACAGGAAACTGCTGCCAGTTTTTGAATTTCATAAAACACCGTTTTGTATGTTTTTTAAGCCTTTTGTTTTACGGGGACACAGGAAGTGTCCTCATAAACCATGTTTACGTTGTAGTACCCATGTCATTATACACATTTGTGTCCTCATAAACCATATATACCTGTACACACACACACACACACACACACCTTTAATATGAAGCAGAGCAAATGTGGCAACATCAATTAAACTCATGGGTGTTAGACTAGTGCACCAAGTAACAAGCAAGTCACCTAGAAACAGAGGGGGTGAAAGTATGAAACCAAAAACAGAGATTAGTGGCAGACAGGGAGTGAGAGAGGGTGTGTTCTGAAGCCAGCTGGAATGACAGGAATCCTGACAATCATTAATTGTTTTTGCAGATACCAATACTGTGTGTGTGTGTGTGTGTGTGTGTGTGTGTGTGGTAAATAACTTTCATAAACAGTTTTGGTATCCAGGTGATGCAGAGCTGACTATGATGATCAAACAGGCCACTATACCTTTATAAAGTGTGACGAACTAACTAAACAGATATACAGACCGACAGACACAGATAGATAGATAGATAGATAGATAGATAGATAGATAGATAGATAGATAGATTACTAAATAGAGGAAAATACACTTCATTCATTTCTGCATCCTGTGTCAGTGTGTACATGTGCTGCAGTCCAGACCATATTTCTTCAAACCATAAATGTGTGATAAGTTTAAAACTAAAGAGCCAAGTGGCCATGTGACAGCGTAAATAGAAGTGAGAGAGCAAGAGAGAGGAGAATGAAATGGAAAGAAGATTGAGTTTAATGAGAAAAGGGCATTCCTGCATTCGTCGTTTGCCTCTCTGGCTTATGTAAGACTGTTTTGCTTGACCTAAAGTGGTTACTTAAAGTTTTAGGGAATGAGAAGCTCTCCCAAGTCTTTCTTTGTTTAAAATGTCTAAACATCCTTAAAACAAGATAAACCTACTTGAGAAGTAAAGTTGTGTAAGATGATGAGGTCATTTTCAGGGAATATGCTAATTGAATTAAGTTTATTATTCTTACCCAATTCAGAAATTGTTAGGCTGTAGATGTGAGCGGCCATGAGTAAAGATGTGGGTCCTGTGCACAGACCTCCTTGGTAAATCTGACTGCTTAATAGCTAAACTCTGAGCAATGTTTGCTGGCAGATGTCTGATGGAATCTCAGCTGCTTTGTTTTGCTCTACAGGACCAATGTACCTTGACTGAGCATTTGCTCTCTTTCTCTCTCTCACTCTTCACTGCTTTGGCAAAACAGGGATCTGCTGGTTGCTGTCCATTCATGTGTGTGTGTGTACATTAGTTTGAAAGGTCAAAAGGGGACACGCAACTGTGATGTCTGAGCTAAGCAAACACCTTTTGTCATGCATGCGTGCGTCTGTTTGTGGGGATGCCAGGCTGTGTGTTGCTATATGACATGGAGGCCTGACGTAGCAACAGGCCTATCATTTTTCAATTAATCCATTGGCTGGAGCACATAAAAACAAAGGAACAGAAAACAGAAGAAATCAGAATGAGAAAGAATTGTGGTTTAATCGTTATTGCTCAGTCATGAGATTAAGCATGTGTTGGGGAAAAATAATTTAGCTTTAATGATGATCATGTTCTCTAGCATGATTTCAGAATGATCCATCTTGTGATTTAATAGAACCAAGAACATCTGATCATCTGTACAAAGACTTCACATGATCAACGTCACAAATTCACTTACAAATTAACTCATTTGATTAGTGATCTATAATCTTAAATAGAAATATGCATATTAATATAAACATTAATATTCATATTACTGTAATAGTATTAATATTAATGTTAATATATTGACATGAACATAAATATTAAATATATTAATATACAACTATTTATTTTTTTATTTTATTCACATTTTTACAGTTGTAAATAATACATTTTATACAAGTTGGTAAATAAACAAATAAATATTTTTCAATTTTAAGCTTTTTAAAAAGTTTTTAAATACATAATTATTATATAAATATTATATAAATATTAATTATATATACATTAACATGAACAATAATATTTATTTATTTAAAAATTATTACCATGTTCTCCAGCATGATTAATATTAATAATAATTTATATTTCTTTATGTTTTATAATTAATATTAATATGTATTTATTTATTGTTTGTTTGCTTACTTGTTTCTTTAAATAAATATAATATAAATATTAATTATATATACATTAACATGAACAATAATATTTATTTATTTAAAAATTATTACCATGTTCTCCAGCATGATTAATATTAATAATAATTTATATTTCTTTATGTTTTATAATTAATATTAATATGTATTTATTTATTGTTTGTTTGCTTACTTGTTTCTTTAAACATTTTAAATCTTAAAGTTTATTTGCAAGTTTAAATTCCATTTTGAAGCAAATCATTAATTCCCCAAAATGTGTATGCTATTTCATTTTCTACAGCTACATCTTCATGTACTTTTGCAGTGTCCAGTGTCCCTGCACTAAAAGAGGTAACCACAAAAGCCTACTGTTTAAAGCCAACCTTCACTCCGGCTACACACACACAGAGAGAGAGAGAGAGAGAAGCTTTCACTTGAACTGTTTCACAAGGGTGACACTAAACCGTTTGCTTTAGTTAGTAAATGAACGTGCAAACACAGCTTCGATGCAAATTGTTAAAATGTAATACTGCCAGTAAACGTAGTTCTCTGAACAGAAACGTATTTAACGGTCTATAGTCTGATCTAGAGGAAAGGCCAAATCTGTTTTTTATTTGACATTGCAAATTTTTCTACTCTGTATAGTTTAAACAGGACTTTAAATCTCATACTGCACATGTAATCAACTTTTCCATTTTAATATAAAGCTTGAAATTCCAGTAGCAACTCATGACAAACCAAGGGACTTTTTTTATCAAGTTTGGAGGTGTAAGACAAATGACATCATAATTCAGAATCATAAAATCCAAGTTATCTCTCACAGTGATAAGAGTTAGTGACAACCGAGCGCTCAGCTTCCTGTTTCTTAGGTTCATCTGAGAGTAATCAGCTAGGAGCTCACCGCTGTGTGGGAGGAAACATCAGAAACTACAGAGAAGTCGAACGCAAATGATCGTGTTAAAAAAAAAAAGATGAAACAGTTTGACAGGTAGCAGCATGAGACAGATTTGTCCACATCCTGCTGTTGTGTGCACATTTACAGAGACGAGCGCACGCACCTGCACGCTTACAGATACATATGCAACTAAGATAGAACTATATTTATTCAAATCACACGGAAGGTAAATGTAAATGTCACACTAGGTCACACAAAAAAGCTCTTGTGTTTGCTGCTAAGCTACCAAGTTAAGAATGCAGTTAGAGCAGACACAAAAGACTCATACAATAGAGGAGGAATATTATTTTGAAACACACGCGTACATGCCTGAAAGAAAAGATTCCGGTGTATGTCATTCAACATCAGTTCTTCCATATAAAGCCAAAACACGTACGGTATTATAATGAAGACTGTAATAATGTTTTGTAATGCTTTACTATACACAGTGGTGACTGAAATCCATTTCAGTCTCAGAAACAAAGAATAAAAACCAATTGACTATTTATCGCAGTTGCGAATTAATGTCCCACAGCTGACTTTATTTCTCATTTTTTATATATTTTATATATATATATAGATATATATATAGGCTAGTATTAGTTTTTTGTGTTAATGACACTGCTGACAAAAATTATGAACATTTCTATGGTATCAAAAATGTTGACATCATAAAAACCTATATATTACATATTCTCATATTGTGAAGGCTTATACCATATTCATCTTAACTTAATTTCACAATAGGCTCAAGTTCAGACTGGAGATCTTACCTTTTTTAATGACTTTATTTTTTAACTGCCAACAGTTTCTGTACACAATACCAAAAGTTTTTGAAAGAAGTTAATCAATTTATTTAAC